CCATCTATTTTATATATCCATCCATCTATTTGACTATCCATCTATCCATCCATTTGATCTATGTATCCACCCATCTCTTTGACTATATATATATCTATCTATCTATATCTATCTATCCATCCATTTTATATATCCATCCATCCATTCAATCTATCTATTCATCCATCCATCAATCTGACTATATATCTATCCATCCATCCATCCAATCTATCTATTCATCCATCCATCAATCTGACTATAAATCTATCTATCCATCCATCCATCTGATCTATCCATCCATCTATTTGACTATCTATCCATCCATCCACCCACCCACCTATTAGACTATATATCCAACCATCCATCCATTTGGTTAACCTACCTATCATCTATCCATCCAACTATCCATCTATCCAACTAACTACCTATCTATTCCTCCACCCATCGATCCAATTCTCTTTCTATTTATATGTGTATTTTGGGATTGCCAGCACAGGACCATCCCAAGCCAAATCCCGAGACTTAGAGTATGTCCTGGCTGATGGCACTGCTTGTTGTGCATTAAATTCACAACAAACACACATAAACCTATTCACACCAAGACCTTTTTTACCCACCAGTTAGAGCACTTTGCTGCTTCTTGTGATGCCACGGTTCGATCCTGTTGGACCCTGTAGAATCATAGCATCCTAGGTTCATTCCACACAGCCATATAACCCAGAATATCAAGGCAAATAATCCACAATATCTGCTTTGAACTGGGTTATCCGAGACCACACTGCCATATAATCCAGTTCAAAGCAGATAATGTGGTATTTTATACAGCGGTGTGGAAGAGGCCTTAGAGTTGGAAGAGGTCTCAAAGGGTCATCCAGTCCAACTCCCTCCTGCCAGGCAGCAAGACACAAGCCAAGCCATCCCAGCAGGTGGTCATCCAGCAATCACAGAACCCAAAAGCAAAGAGAGAAAGCAGGAGAGAAAAATGGGATTTTAAAAGTGGGATGATAGAGGATGAATGGTTAATTTGGGACATTTGGTGGGTATGGACAAATTGGAGTGCAGGACTCTTTTTGGAAACGGCAAAGCACCTGACGGAACACAAAATGGGGAGGAAGCCGAGGGGAAGGATATGATTAACGTCTTGATAATCACCGCCAAGTCCCTCTAGGCAACTTGAGAGGTGCAGCAAACGGAAACAGGAAAGCCCATTCTCCAAGGCAGCTGTCCGAAAGGGTGAGTTCCTCGAACAGGACGCACCTTTTATGAAGCTTTGGGACTAATTTGGTCTCAAAATAGCTGTGCCCCAAAGCTTCATAAAAACAAAGGTGTGTATCAGCAGAACAAAATTATGTGGACCCAACAAATCTCCATCCAAGCCATCTAGTTTGCAAGAAGCACTCGACAGGTCGTTGCAACTTGGAGAGGGCCATTGTGGTTCTCTGCATTTACCTTCTTGCTAGATATATATAATGGCTTACATTCTGAATCCCAGTGTTGTGGCTCAGTCTGAGTCTGAGTCTGGAACTGAACTGTTTGGGCCTTCTGGGCCTGGGCCTTCTGAGTCTGAGCCTGACTTTCTGCAGGATGACGAGGAGGCTGATGGGTTGCAGATTCCTGGTTTCGGCGGTGGTCAGGGGAGCCTTCGCACAATTAAAACTTGTGTGCCAGCTGCGCCCGTACCTTGGGAAGTCTGACTTGGCCACGGTGGTCCACGCTTTGGTTACATCCCGTTTAGATTACTGCAACGCTCTCTACGTGGGGTTGCCTCTGAAGACTGCCCGGAAGCTGCAGCTAGTCCAACGCTCGGCAGCCAGACTACTAACGGGTGCTGGGTACAGGGAGCACACCACTCCGCTGTTACACCAGCTCCACTGGCTGCCAATTAGCTTCCGAGCACAATTCAAAGTGCTGGTGTTAACCTACAAAGCCCTAAACAACTCCGGCCCTGTTTACCTCTCTGAACGTATTCTCCCCTACGAACCATCAAGATTATTAAGATCGTCTGGAGAGGCCCTGCTCTCAGTCCCACCAGCCTCGCAAGCGTGTCTGGTGGGGACGAGGGACAGGGCCTTCTCGGTGGTGGCCCCTCGACTCTCTCCCACAGGAGATCAGAACCGCCCCTTCTATCCTGACATTCAGGAAGCAGGTGAAGACGTGGTTATGGAGACAGGCATTCGATGAGTGAACCAACACCTGAGACTGGATGGAGGATGATGAACATCAAATTTAGTGGGACGACTGACCATTGTATTTATTGAATGTAATTGTTGTTTTGCTGTTTTAATGTTTTAATGTTTTATTGCTATATGAAGTATGATGTTTACTGACTGTATGTATTTTATGGTTGGAAACCGGTCTGAGTCCCTCAAGAGAGGTGAGAAGGTCGGTATATAAAACTTTTAAATAAATAAATACATGCTCCAGACGGGGCTGATAGTGTGCCTTCTGAAGAAGAAACAGCAAGCCTGTTCCCCGGGGAAAGGAATGTGCCTTTAGATAGAGACAGTGAAATCCCACAAGTGCAGGTGGAGACTCCTTTCGGTTCCCAGAGTGATCCGGCCCAGCTGGGCAGAGATAAGGAGTTGTATAGCCTTGAAGATAATGGTGAATTAATGAGCAGACAGGACCATTTGCAATTAAGGGTTCGCAGAAGCACACGCCTTGCTAGCAAGAGGAAAGCCAAAGGTCAACACAATGCTTTCATGTTCGAGAGGCTTACTTAATGATGTAGCTGACAGGCATTTCTTGTCAGTCCAATGTTGCTTCTTACCCGTTAACTTCTGTAGAATTGCCTTGGCTTTTGTGGAACGCTTCTGGCTTCTTGGAGACTGGAATTCTGATCCTGATTTTACCTGTTTGCCATGGACTCTTGTTTGACCATTGCTAAGGGATTATGCTTCATGTCATTTGCCTGTGGATCTTAGGAACCTTGCCTTTGCATTTAAGACTCTGTCTTGCCTATTGAACTTTTGCATCTTTATTTCTCTGTTTTGATTTTGCTTTTTCTCAATAAACTACAGCCTTGGTGTGTGCTGGTGTCTTGAGCAAGGTGAAAACTACCCTGAGTTGCGACACCCACCAATGATGGAATTGGGCCGAACTTCCCAAACAGAAACCCCATATCTTGAAGGAACTCACTGGCGCGAGCCTCCTTCCAGCCTCACATACTATCCCTCTCCCACCCATGCGCACCACGCTGCCATGTGCCGAGCATGCTTGCTCTCCCCTCCATGCTTGGAGTCTCACCTTCGTAGAGGGGCTCAGACCGGCTTAGAGGAAGGATTCAATGCTACTAATACAAGTTAAAACATCATACAACAAGACATATAGATAAAATACATATATATCAAATCGCCAAGGGAAAATCATGTTCAACTCAGTCCGCATATGTGGTCACTCACTTTGCTTTGTAACCAGTCTCAGCCATTATTCTGGGAATGCTTTGTTCCATAACCAGGATTTCACTAGCCTCCTGAAGGACACGAGGGAGGAGGCAGATCTTATCTCCCTCGTGAGAGAGTTCCATAGCCGAGGGGCCACCACAGAGAAGGCCCTGTCTCTCGTTCCCACCAAACGTACTTGCGAAGGTGGTGGGACTGAGTGCAGGGCCTCTCCGGAAGATCTTAACGTCCTTGATGGTTCATAGGGGAGAATACGTTCGGACAGGTAAACTGGGCCGGAACCGTATAGGGAACCGTATAGGGATCTTCAGCCTTCTCTGCCAAAGGGGTTCCTAAGACCATCAGAAATGTATGTTTTCTGACGGTCTTTGGTGACCCCTCTGAAATTCAATGTTTGCCATACCTAAATAGGTAAGAAGGAATAAGTAACTCATTTCACCTCAGACTTCATTTGGTCCTGAACTCTAGTTAGGATTTGTTGTCCAAGCGCTGGTTTCCAAAGCAGCTTCCAATGTCCATCCCTACCTTTTTCAAAGGATGACTTGAGGGCAACGCAGAATAGACACAGAAGCATTTTTTAATAAGGAAATTCCTGCTTCCCCGACCTGACCCAATTCCTTGGCATCTGCGCTCCCAACTCCAACACAAACAGAGGAAGCACATGCTCTTATGTCCAGAGGGGACCGCTTTTCATCTTTTGCCCATCACTGGGTGCCGGCGGGACCAAGTATTGCCATCTCTGAGCTAAAAGGCAGAAAAATAGTAACAAACTCGAGATAGCTGGCATTTTTTGCAATCCGGTCATGCCTCCAGTCATGCAAAGACCGGCCTCTGAGATAACAAAGATGGAGCATTGTATCAAGCTTTTGGAGTTATTACAGTGTTGAAAAGATGCCCCTGAAATATTTGAGGACTGCGGACAGAGGCTGGGCTTCCAACGAGCCAAAGGTCCGGAACTGATGGGCCCATTTTCTTGACAGGTAGCTTTCGACACCTGAACAGGGCATCCTAGCCTTTTCCTCAGCCTAAGGCCTTTCATTCTCATAATGAGTTACCTGCAATGAATGACCCTACGTTATGAATTCATGCAGAGAGGATGGTCAGAAGTGCTTAATGCCCAGAGATGTTCGGGTCCAAGCTTCAACCAAATAAAGTGCATTCTGAGGGCATATTGCTGAGAATTTTCCTTATTCTGGGAAGTCACACTGGAACAACCACGTTTTTAGGCTCCTCCTAAAGACTGCCAATGTTGGGGCAGGCCTGATGTCCCTGGGAAGTGAGTTCCAGAGTCGGGGGGCCACCACCGAAAAGGCCCTCTCCCTCGTCCCCACCAATCGCGCCTGCGAAGCATGTGGGAGCATGAGCAAGGCCTCTCCAGATGATCGAAGGGATCGTGTGGGTTCGTACACAGAAATGCGGTCACACAAAAATAGTGTTACATAGTGTTAGAGACGATGTCTGTCAAAGAGGAGCTACTGCAGCAGCTTCCCCTTTGGCTTTGGCTCAGCACTAAGATTATCATATTATCCAAATCCAATGTGCACTCTAAATTTGGAAAGGTGAGCATTAGATTCGAGTAAATACGGTAACAGAAACAAGGCAGGTCTCCCTGCAAGTTACCTGCCAGAAACAGCAACTGATTCTTCACTCGCAATTCGCCATTTCCAGAAGCATCTCCGCCACCGCCGCACTCATCATCCTCATCGTCGCAATCTCCACTGCCCAGATGGTCGTCCCTTCCAATTTTGTCCGAATCCCTCCGGTGCGGGACCGGTATTCCTTTCAAGAGCTGGGAGGGGGAAACACACCGGGAGATTTGAATGTCAGATTGCCTCCCGACTGATGCTCTCTTAGCCCTCTCCCCTTTCCCATTTCTCCCTCCATCTATACAGCACCCTCTTGTGGTTTTGTGTGTGTGTGCCACAAGAATAGGTGTTGAGATTAACTTCACAATTCAGCAGCAGATCAGTTGCACAACTTCAGCGCTTGCCAGTAGCTTCTTCCTGCACAGTATTTTCAGTCAACTGCTCCCACAGCCTGCAGTCACTCTGGAACCTTTTACAGACACTTGAGCACATGCCCGGCCATTGTCAGTTTTACCATTGTCTTTCCCCCAGTCTAGATGATATTACAAACTTACCACAGCATACAGTTATATCTTGTCTTAGCAGACAGGTTCTTTTAAATTACATATAGCCTTCGACGAACAACATCACAGCACAAGGAGAGATATACACTGTACATGACTTCCTTATATACAATTCTATACAATTACACATAGCAATCTCTGATTGGTTCCCAACTCATTAACTTAACTCAGACCCAGGATTACATCATTCACAATCACCTGGACTAGGCCAGAACACATTCCCCAAATGAAGTTCTGTATACAGTTAATGCATGACTCAGCATTTCCAATAGAAGCCTATTAGCAGTGCATGACTCAGCTATATCACATTCAATACATTGTAAAACCTGACAATAGGCTTGTTTTGGGGATCATGGTCCCTTATTTATTTATTTTTTTGTCAGAAGCAAATTGAGAATAGTTATAATGTATAAAAAAACCACAAAGTTAAAAACTTGGCATGATACTACATTTTCTTTGACTAGAGCAGTATTTCTCAACCTGGGGGTCGGGACCCCTGGAAGGGTCGCAAGGGGGCAGGGCCATAGCCAGAAATCTTTTTTGGGGAGGGTTGAAAATTTCTGGGGCGGGGGAGTTGAAACCTGCCTCCTAGCTCACACAAAGCAAAGAGCACAGCAGGGGGCAGAGCAGCCTTCAATAGCCGCTCCGTCCCTGTCAACCACCTCCACCAAGTCTGGCCTCCTTAATGAGAGCATTCAACACCCACCCCCCCCCCCCAACTTGGTTGCTTCACTACATCAGCTATTGTATCCATTGGCCTAGTCATCCGTAAACCAGATCAACAATTGGGTCACACCGTTTACAGAAAACCCCCACACACAGATAGATATCTACATAAAAACTTCAATCATCACCCAAGTCAAAAAAGAAGCACCATTAAAGCCTTGGCAGACCATGCAAAAAGAATCTGCGAAGCCCACCTCCTCCAAGATGAACTGAACCACCTCAACTGGGCTCTCCAGGCCAATGGATACTCCACCTCAGACATCAGAAGAGCTGCAAGACCGAGAACAAGCCACGAGAGTCAAGACAAAGATCCACCCAGAGGAAAAGTGTTCTTGCTATACATCAAGGGAACCACTGACTGCATAGGGAAGCTGATGAGGAAACACAACATACAAACTATCTACAGACCCACCAAGAAAATCCAACAAATGCTACATTCAGCAAAGGACAAGAGGGATCCTCTCACTTCTGCAGGAGTCTACCATATACCATGCAGCTGTGGACAAGTCTACATAGGGACCACCAAACGCAGCAGCATTGCCCAAACACGAATCAAGGAACATGAAAGGCACTGCAGACTACTTCAACCAGAGAAGTCAGCCATAGCAGAGCACCTGATGAACCAACCTGGGCACAGCATATGCTGGACCACTCTCACAACCACCATGTCAGACTACACAGAGAAGCCATTGAAATCCACAAGCATGCGGACAATTTCAACAGAAAGGAAGAGACCATGAAAATGAACAAAATCTGGCTACCAGTATTAAAAAACTCTAAAATTACAACAGCAAAACAACAGAGAGGAAACAATCAGGGACATGTAATCACCTCTCAACAAAAGATTGCCCCAGGCACTGCCAGGCCATCAAATGCTAATCAAGGTGGTCAGTTGAAACATTCACACCTAGCTCCAGCAGACAAGAGTCCTTTGTCCCACCCTGGTCTTTCCACAGATATATAAATCCACTTCCCTAGTTCCAATAGACCTCACTACCTCTGAGGATGCTTGCCATAGATGCAGGCGAAACGTCAGAAGAAAATGCCTCTAGAACCTGGCCATATAGCCAGAAAGGTCAGCTGTGACCAGCAGTGCTGCAGAATTCGAGGAGGCACGAGTGGAGGGTGAAAGAGAGAAACGTGCCAGGAGGAAGGCGCATCAAGCCAACCCCGACCGGGACCGCCTTCCACCTGGAAACCAATGCCTTAACTGTGGGAGAAGATGCGGGTCAAGAATAGGGCTCCACAGCCACCTACGAATCCACAAGGAAACCCATCATGGAAGACCATCTTACTCGTCCAACGATGGATCGCCTAAGTAAGTAAGTAATAGCCCGAAAAAACCTACAACAACCCAGTGAGACTCTACTTTATTTCAAAGCTCCCTGCTTGAGCAGTGATGGCATAATCGTCAGCATAGATGAAATTCTCTGCCCCTTCATTTATGTAAATGTGAAACATTGATGGAGCAATGGCCCCTAAAAAGGTGAGGTTTTTTTCCAGCCACCATTTTGTATTGGATCATGATGGAGCTGTATGCCAAGTTTGGTCCTGATCCAACAAACCGTATAGGAGCCTTTGAGGAACAAACAAACATTCCTATGTTGACTTTTCTAGCTCAATTGCCATTCTGAAATCAGCCATTGTTTGCCTCATTGTCCATTTCAGCCCCATCTCCTCTATCAGTGATATCTTATAAAACTCCTTGGAATAATAAAAGTCTTTGGATGATTCTGTCCTTTATGTAAAGCTCTGTCATCTGACCTCAAGTGTCCTCTTCTTGTAATACAAATAATTGGCTTCTTGTTTGTTTCAGAGCCACAGGCTTTTAATTACAGTAAAAGGAGAGCGGCCCTACGTCTTGCGCTCGCTTTCTTTCTCGGCGGCTGGGAAATCTTGCTCCTGCTTTTATTCACACGACGGCTGTAAAACTTTTGTTTACGAAAAGGGAAAATCGCAGCACGGAGAAGGTCTGTTTATACTGGGGCATAAATATGGTAAGCCCCTTCCCCGTTCTCCGGATAATTCATGGTTTCCTGTCCAGCTCATGGGAAAGTCAATTGACTCTTCTTCTTTTGTTGCAGAGTTGTTTCATTTTTAAGTGGTTTTTCGTACATAATGATAGATTGAGCAGGAATGTATGGAAAGAATATATTCTTCAACACTTCTCATATGGAAACAAGACTTGGGGTGCATCCGCAGTGTGGAATTAGCACAGTTTGGCACCACTTTAACCTCTGTGGCCAGAGGTTATTTTTGCCCCCCCCCCCAAAAAAAATCACTGATATATATTTTCTGTTCATCGTGGGAGTAGTGTGTGCCATATTTGGTTCAATTCCATCATTGGTGGAGTTCAGAATGCTCTCTGATTGTAGGTGAACTATACATCCCAGTAACTACAACTCGCATATGTCAAGGTCCCCCAAGAGTGCCCCTGGAAATGATTTTGTCATTTGGGAATTGTCGTTGCTGGGATTTATAGTTTACCTACAATCAAAGAGCATTCTAAACTCCACCAATGATGGAATTGGGCCAAACTTAGCACACAGGGCTCCCATGACCAACAGAAAAAACTGGAAAGGTTTGGTGGACATTGACCTTGAGTTTGGGAATTATAGTTCACCCACATCCAGAGAGCACTGTGGACTCAAACAATGATGGATATGGACCAAACTTGACATAAAAATTCCATATGCCTAAATATGAACACAGATGGAGTTTGGAGGAAATAGACCTTGATATTTGGGGTTTGTAGTTACTGGGATTTATAGTTCACTACAATTAAAGAGCATTCTGAAATCCACAAACGACAGAAATGGGGCAAACTTCCCACACAGAACCCCATGACCAACAGAAAATACTTAAGGCCATCCAGTCCAACTCTCTTCACCAGGGCAAGAAAATGTAATCAGAGCCCTCCTGACAAAGAGCCATCCAGTCATAAATATAGATAGATAGATAGATAGATAGATAGATAGATAGATAGATAGATAGATAGATAGATAGATAGATAGATAGATATGATTCTCACACACACAGAGAGATAGTATCATAGATTTGAAAGAGACCCTTAAAGAAGGACTATGATATGTTGCATATTCCAGAGTAGGCAAACCAGACACTCTCCACATCAACACTGACAAAGAAACAGCAAGAAATACTGTTTACCCACAAGCAGAAAGAATTACATATATTAGAAACCAACACTTTCTCATTACTTTATTTTCCCAGATCACCAGACTGGGCCACAGCAACGCATGGCAGGGGACAGCTAGTAAATAAATACAATTCTATCATTTGCACAAAGCTTTTTTTGGGATATGTTTTCCCTATACAGTGTTGTTCTGCTTTTGCTTTCTCCGTGGCAGCATAACAAGAATGCGATAAGGCTTCTTGAGCCGCAAACCATCGCAATTATCCATTAAGTAACAATTACGACGGTTTCATATGCCCCTCCCCATTTTAAAATGAAATAACCTTCAGTGGTTTTGCTGCCTTGAATTAACCGAAGTTGCGAAGGGCTAAACCTGCCATTATGGCTCATCCTCCCTTTTGTGGGAAAAGGCAGCAAACCCAATAATCAGTTCGAGCTTTGCGACAATAAGTCACGGCGGGTTGTTGTTTTTTTGCTTCTTATCCCCCCCCCCCCCAAAAAAAACTAAATAAATAAACTTAATGACAATTTATCCAGCTGCAAGAGTTTAAGCGGCACGTCCTCTTCCCCTTTCCTTGCCCAAACCAGCCAAAGGAATCGTCGCTTGAAAGACACGATGCAAATGTGGGTTTGTGGGCAAAGAGACGGGCAAATTCTTGGGGTCTGGAGGAGATGTTTTTTATACTTTCCGGACAAAGTTACGGCCAAACCAAGCTGAGACGTTCCCTTTTCCCACTCTTTCGTGGGGCTCTTCTATATG